TCCCCTTCCCCTTCCGTGGAGGAGGGGGGGAACACCCTTTGCTGAATTATAGGGAAAAACAGCCTAGGAAGCTGAAAACAAAAACAAAAAACCCCAAACAGATATTTACCTGATGGGCAGAGGGCATCACTGATTGGCAAACATTTTCCTTATTTTCAGTTGCTAGGTATGCAATTAGGTAAATATTTCCACTGGGACAAGAAAGAAGAGTTTTGGTTTGGTTGGTTTAGATCATTTGTTTGGGGAGAAAAAGAGCTGAGCAGAGCAGATTTTTCCTCCCCCCTCCCCCCCAATGCAGAAATCAGGACTGGGGAACGATTTCATTAAATGCCAACAGATCCAGTATTTTAGCATTTATAAACTGTCACTTTTTCATGTGTAGATAATGCATATTTTACAGTTTATCCAGCTGTAAACATTTTATAATATGTTCATAACCTTAAGTTTAAAATCTGGTTTTATAGCTAAATGTGGTAACTGTCCCCAAACTATTGATATTCTTTTATGTGCTGTAACCTGAAGCAATTCCTTTTTTGTTTTACATGGGTTCTCTGGCTCTCAATGCAGAAACAAACAAACAAACAAAACTATTGTGTTGATGTTCCAGAGCAATGGTTCTGCCTTGTCTTGGGTAAGAGTCTGTTTTTTACCCCAAACCTTGGTTTTTTACAAGTTTTACCTTTGTTATAAAAAATTTTGGATTCAGCCATCCCTCAATATGGGGAGTCCAAAATGAGGAACACATAACACATAACAATAGAGAAATATAGTTTTTCATGTCACTTGACTTCTGCTTTATAGACTTATGACTGAGACAGATATGTTGTTCAGAATATAGCACTGGCAAGCTTATGCATGGTAACACTTAATGCCAAGATTTTTTGACAAGTGGTTTACTTTGTGTACATTCTCTATTATTTGAGATGAAACATTTATTTCAGAAAGGGTTCCCATTTGCCTAGGTAGTTTGAATGATAAACTGAAGCAGTTCCTAGACTACTATTAGGGTCTAATTATTTTATAACATTGTGTGAAATGCATGTCAGTGTATTTCATCAAAAGAGCAGAGTTCCTACTAGGAGGTGATTCATGGTATCAGGAAGAGAGTCATAGTCAAGGGCGACTACACGTATGTAAGTGACATCAAGACTTCTAATATAACTCTCGTTTTCCAGAGAGATTGCCTAAGTAATGAACTGATAGTACATGTTTTTTAAGATTGTTTTCTATTTTATAAAGAAAAGAGTAAGGCAAGTTGAGTATATGAAAACCTGTTTGAATAATGTGAAGGAAATAAAATAAATAGACTTCAAAGGAAAACAAATTTGAGCCAGTAGCACAAAGCAGGTTGTTCCTCATTTTAAATCTGCAACGATTGTTCTGTTAGAAGAGGTGGTAGAGATTTGCCTACTCTCTTTATTAGTCAGATTACTGGCTTTTATTGCATTGTGTCAGATCCTTAATGTTATTTCAAAGTAATTTTTTAATGTTTAATTTTCTTGTGTCTGTAGATGATGTCCTGTACTCAGACATAGCCTTAAGAACTCTGAACACACCACTAGGAATTCATAAAGCAACTCCCACTCACACGTGCTCATGCACTCAACTGTGCACAAATTGACAGACAAAGGCATCTACTGTAAAATTGGAACTATTTGAAATTATTTCTGTCTTGGGAAAGGGATTTAAATTTTATTTAATGCTGATAGTACTATTTAGGCTCAAAATACATTCATTTTCCCCTAGTGAATGGAAAGAACATAAATTTATCCCTAGCTGTAAAACGAAGCATCTTGATTTTCTTCTTGTGCATTTTCTTGCAAGGGTTATAGTTTTCTTAGTGTGAATCCATGACAAAGTTATGATTGCTCATTTGTTCAGTTCTACAGGAAAGTTAAGAGTAGCTAACGCACTGATGAGAATATTGTAGCAGTAGAGGCAATCTACCTATTTATTTTATAAGCACTGGAACAAACTATTTTTGCTTTCAAAGATTTAGGGCCTATTTCTGCATTTAGACTGTTATCCTGTGTCTTCTTTATATAAGTAAAGGAAAATTTCAGCAAAGCATATCTTAATTTCTCCTTGCCTATCCATAAGCAGTTACACAAGAATGAAAATATTTTCTTTTCTTACTCTTCTTTCTATATATTTTCCATGTTTTTTATTCCACATCTTTAAGAATTCCACCTACACCAGTCAAATTAAAGATTCAGGCAATGGATTAAATGCCTTCAATCACTTGATGGGAAATCAGGACCAATGCAGGAAGAGTGTGTTCTTAACCTTTTCCAACCATAGACCAGTGATCGTAGCTGTTTGTTTGTTGTTGTTTTTTTTGTGCCAAGGGCTACTTTCTCTCATTCATGTTCATGGAAAGTGTTTTTTAGAATTTTAATAGATTTCCTTTCCAATTATTATTTTTAAAACAAATATTTTTATTGATTTTTTAGAGAGAGAGGAAGGGAGAGGGAGAGAAAGAGAGAAACATTGATGTGAGAGTAGAACATCGATTGGCTGCCTCCTGTATACCCCCTACTCGGGATCAAGCCTGAACCTCGGGCATATGCCCTGACTTGGAATTGAACCAGCAACCTTTCGGTGCAGGGATGACACCCAACCAGCTAAGCCACACTGGCCAGGGACCATTCCAATTATTATTAATGCATTATCTGATTTGGCCATATTTCCTGATTTTTTAAAGGAAAGGATTGGATATGGGCTGATGACACCTTTCCTGTGTATTATTCTGAGATATTTGGATGATTACGTCTCTTTAATCAAAGAGCTGGCCAAATTAGAAAACAAAAAAATCAAATCAATTGTTGGCCCTGAAATTATCAGTCAGTTTTATGGTTCTGCACAAAGACAGCCTGAATTTAATTATTCACATTACACAGACAGTGTTACCAAACTACTCCGCTTGGTGCTAACGGTGGTTGGTGCTTTATTCCCCCTTCAGCACCAACAGGGAGAGATTTTACTGTAGCATTTTACTGTAGCAAAAGGAAATAGATCATTATTTCATCTAATAACAACAATGGAATATAGGACAGTAAGGATTTCCTTTGGATACATTTCCCACAAATTATCTGCCTCCTTAAATAAAAAGTGTTTAATGTCTAGGAAGGTGACGACTTACTGAGTTTAAAGGGTTTACTCATTAATTTCAGAAGTAGTTTTCAAGTATTTGCACTTAAATGAAAATTCAAAGAGCCCTTTCCCTACAGTTATCCACATAAAAGGATATGGTAGATATCAAGATTTCTTTGAACTTTCTAAGAGTTTTCAGTATTGATATCTTAGATTCATTTTAGAGACTCGTTACCTTTAACTTTGTAGGGAGAGGTTGAGTAATGGAGCTTTCTGTCCTCCCCCTTTGCTCCCATCATGTTTGCTTCCTGCCCTCAAGCAGCAGTAGTGGGACCTTCCTCGTGATTTAGTGTCTTTTGACATCTGCATCGCGAAACTCATTTCCTGCGTTTGGTCATTCTAGATTCAGCGCTTAGCTGCTACTGAGACATGTTCTAGAACATTCACATATACTTTGCTCCCCTTATTGTTATGAAATTAATTTAGGAATTTTTATACTCTTAAAAATAAGGAAGAAAAAGGACCACAGCTGCCTCCTATCACCACTGAGGATGGCCAATTAAGAGTTCCTGGATAAGATGAGAGGAGACACCCAGATACCTCGGCCGAACCCTGTTTCCCTTCCCCTTCTCCAGGCAGACCAAGGCTTGGACAACACAGTTCTTACTTAGGAATTTTTAATTCATTACATGAAAAAATTTATAAAACAGTTTGAAACCAAAAGGCTAGTGTGGCGGATGGGTATCTTAATATATATAGCCTGTGTAGGCAGAACCAGAAGCAACCATTTCCTTCATAAAGAAAAGTGACTGTAACATTGTCAGGTGATATGCAAGTGCGGTCTCCCCTCGGGCAGTCGTTGATCCTGCCACCCCGTCCTGCTCTGAAGATTTTCTGGTGGATGCCATGGATTGCTTCTCAAAGCCTTTTCACTGTGATAACGGTATAAAGGAGACCTTTTGTTGCCAACAATAACCACTTATATGGAATATTATTATCTCATCGTAGATAATATTTTTAAGGAGTGAGTCAGAATGATAGTTTTATGATTATGGAAAGGAGTTTCTTCTCAAACTGAAAAGGGAAAGATTAAAATAGTCACAAAGCCTCCAGAACTGAAATTGGGCACATTTTATGATGGATACTTACAATGCAACACATGTTCATGGGGCATATACTGTAGCTAATAATAAAAATCCATTCGGTTTGGAGCTCACACATAGCTATGCTGTAATTGGACTTATTATTTATTAAAAATGCCTTTATTTTACCTATCTTTTTTTTTTTATATTTGTCTCCTATAGTTTGTGGGGTGGAACAGAATAGGGGGAGGTTGAATAAGAGTTTTCTGTATTCCGCATATTTCCTCTAAAATTAATAATAGTAGTTATAATAATGAATAACAGTCGTTGAGTACTTACTAAGTGTCAGTGACTGCTAGGAGCT